ATATATATATTTCTCTTTATATCTCTCCATTGCATATTATATTAACCTCACAATGAATAAAAGTAGAGAAATAAAACCTTCAAAATTAAGCAGCGAAATTTGCTTCTGTTTTGCCATTTATTAGAAGTGTGTGAGAAAATAGAGAAAAAGATATGTTGAAGGGGAAGTTCCCCAATCTCCGGAGTCTCTGGTAAGTCACAAGGATAATAAATAAATAAATAAATATATATATATATATATATAATATTTAAAAGCTGATCTTTTTAATATGGAAAAACAAAAATACTTCGAACATTTTTTTCAGAAAAAAAGCACTCACGTAGTATATTGACGCAAATCCTCCTCGTACGTCGACTGTACTCCCATTTGTGAATTTGTGCTAAACATTTCTTCAACATTCCAACCATTGTTTCGTTGATATCGCTGGCGTTGATCTGGCTGAAAATTGTCACTGATGATTCATTGCTCACATATTTTCCCGCAATAATAGTTTCTCAACAGCTTCAACGTGTATGGTCTTCCATGATGAGAGATTCTTGGAACTTCATAGATGCAACTGAACATACCATCTGATCTAATGGCTCAATCTCTTCTCCGTCTTCATCGCCGCTCCACTCTTGTAGCTCGTGCTCTTCACCGTCGAGTCGTCCATTTTGTTGCTTTGTGTGATAATCTCGATCGGTTGCAAAACCTTAAAATGAGCATTGACTCTTAAAAATTTTTTTACTTCCCTATAGCGGGATTCCAAGAATTTTAGAGTTGTGCACATGAACAATTCACATCAAAAAGCAAATGATGGTCACGTTAGCGTCGGAAATAGCATCTAGAAGCCATAAAGGGACACATGTGTCTCTTACAACTAGGTGAAAACGATTTGCAAAGATAGTGCATAGTAAATATGAGCATAAACAAAGGCTCTTGCTTCAAGACGACGTTCGTAAAGACAGAAGACTCAGAAAGCCTCTTAGAAAGGAATTTTAAATATTCTTTTAGAAAGCCAGGATCTAGAATCAAAAGGCTTCCACCAAATAACGGTATTGATGAGTCTTCACCTAAAGAAAGCAAGGTGGTGGAAAGTAAAGCAAACGTTGTAGTATGAACAATGCAGATTGGGGATAACCAAGTGCAAAATTTCTCACCGCAGTCTAACCTTTCCACTTAAAAAAAA